AAAAAACCAGCAACTAAGATAACAGTAATGAGCACCAGATACAAATATGCTGAATCCCATGGACTCCCTGGGAATGAAGAAAATAAGATGTTGGCCTCTGTAGAAGCCAAACACAAGATGGTGGAGAAGTCTTCTCCAAACTATGTGGCCGAGAGAGAAGTTAAAGGAAAAATGACAGAGCAACCAAGCCTCCACAATTACAGAACCCCCTCTTCACCTAGAAAACATCAGGGGCAAAACTGAAAACTGGGAAGAACTATTTTTTTGTCCAAGAACAAGTCAGTGCTGCTGGGCTGCCTGCTCCACACCACCCGACAGGGGTTGTCCTGGTGGTGGCAATCCCATTGGAAGTGGTGGCTGGAACTGCAGCAACAGCTAAAAAAATTGTAGAGAAAAGAGTCTGGCATCCCAGCATAGCTGTCACGAGTGGCAGCAGTGAAAAGGCCCAAAGAAATTATGTTCCTTTAGTCCAGGAACAGAGTTGCCACAGCAACAGTGGCCAAAAAGTTGTTATGAAATTCTCCAAAGCCCAAAAGTGAGCCTCAGCCTCTCACTGCCTGGGCTTGAAGAACCTGCCCCAGGCAACTCTCTTGGCAGCCTGGAGAGAATCTAAAGAGCCTTTGCCTCCACTCTGGAGCCAGGAGGAAACAAAAAGAGGGCTGTGTGTGAGTAGTCCCTGTCTCTCAAACGGACTCTGGAGCACTCTGTGAAAAACCCCAGATCTGCTTTCAGACCCTGAGTCTTAATGGGGCAGTGATAATCTTGAGCAGATTGACACAGAGATGTGGAATACAATACTTTTTTTTTTTATGGGTTATCCAGGACAAGATTCAAAAGGCTAGAAGAAGCCAGATAAGATGTATATCTGTCCCTTTTGGGCAGGGCTTTGAATGGGAAATGTGGACTTTTCTTCTGTCTCCACTTGTCTCTATGCATTTTTATCCAGTTTCAGTATAATTTTAAATGTGCTTCCCCTATAGCTTGGACATTGTGACACTTCACATGTGGTAAGAGAGGTTCTGATCCAAAACTAATATATTTCAGATACAGAAGACTTTTCCATAAGTCTTTTGTGAAATAAGGTGAGAAACTTTCTGAGCTGCATCAGTCATGGTTTGAGAAAAAATGATTATTCTCTGTATCTTATGGGAAATTAGCATTTAGGTGTGTCTCTGCACAAGACTGAATTGTCACAGAGCTTAAAACCAGTCAGAGTTGAAAAATTCTATGTAATAGAACCAAGCTCTAATAAACAATCTTTATGTTGATGAACTCAGCCAGGAGCAGTAGAGCATGAAAGGGGATGTTGAGTACCTAGCAGAAAGGTAATACTGCCTCTTAGTAGAATTATTTCTGTAGCAGGAAAAAGTTTTAAAAAATCTATTCCATTGACAAGAAGGCACATACAGTGTGGAATTTTATCTGTGTCTTCTAGGATGGTATTTTTGCAATGTGATATTAATAGAAAAAGATGCATATATTCCATAGGCCTGCTTTTAGCTTTTAAATGCACTTTTGTAAGACTATGGACAAACCAAATTATTTTTAAAACAACATATAATAGGTTATAAATCACATAGTATCCTTATTACATTGCTTAACTGATCGACTTTATGGATAAGCTGCTCTCAGTCTGGTCTAAAATAATAGCTGATAACTATTTTGGTTTAAAAAAAAAACCCAAAAAAAAGAAAAAAGAAAAAAAAAAGAAAAAAAAAAGTGAGGAGATTATATGGAACTTATTGTTAAGTCTGACAGATGGTACCCAGTTATTCAGCTGTATCCTGTCACCCTGATGGGTATGTATTTTGTGTTAGCCTTGAATTTTCCTCTATGAACCCAGTGAGACTTTCTAGTAAAATCACAGCCTACTAGAGAGCAGAGTAACCTTTATCACGTCATCTGTGCTTAAGTGGCCTTTGAGGAAATTTATTGACCTTGTCTGGATTTCTTTTGGGTTCAATTTGTGACAAAATAAACTGAAATTTGTTTAGGATCCTCATGAAGAACTGCACCACATACTGTTATTGTTTTCTTCCCGTCACCTTCGAATGTGGTGCTTGATACTGATTAATTGCCTCTCTTTTCTTTCTACCAGGTGCATTTGCCAGGTCTCATCTCTGATAACAGATGCCACTATCTGTGTTTTTCAATTTTTTATGAAGCCCAGTTAACTGTTTCTGCTCTAAACCCCTCATAGCCTAAATCTTAACTCAGAATTTAACAGGGCCTGTGCTGCACACGTGACTTAGGGGCCGGGCATATATAGCCGTAAGGGCTCATTTAGGTCACTCCCTCTATAGAATGTCACTTTTCACCCAACAAGAGAGGGTTTAATTTAGTAAAACAAAAAATTTTGTACTGATGCAGGCAGTGTATGGGCCAAAATTATAAAATATGGTGAAATCATACGGTGAAATGAAAACATTTACAGTACATGCATGGTATTTTTGCTGCCACCTGCTTCCTTCAGTGTGATGCTCAGAGTGGGTCTGAAATTGATTCCTTTCAATTAAGTGTTTCTGGGGGAAAGAAATCCAGAATTGATTAAATATATACTGTTTATTTTCAATTACTGAATAATGTCCATTACTCTGAATCTAAAAATGTGCATAAATTTGAAAACTAATCTTCAGATATATTATCATAATGTCAATTTTCCTTTTAGCACAGAAATATGAACTGGATAATGTGGTACCTTTATTTAAAAAAATGAGTAAATCTGAGATTACAGGTTGCAATGGACACACAGGGAAAATAATCTGTGTTCTCCAAATCCTATCTGTAGCATGTCCTGATGGGATTTTCCCTCCTATTTTCTCCTTTTCTTTGTTTAAATGAATGTAATGCACTATATTATTGAAAACAATCATTGTAAAAGATGCTAATTTTTTTCCCCCACCTAGTGTGTTTTCATTTACTATGTCACTGGCACTAATTTCTCTATTAATAACCCTCAATCTGCTGACCTTGATGAAGCTATTGATTGGCAAAGTTTTTTTCAGGTATCTAATTTTGTGGGACTAACAGACTGGAACTTGGTAAACAGGTTTTTCCCTTTCCTTTTGTCAAACGTTTAGTTTAAAAAGAAAAGTACTGATCCTCCACATAATTATATTTCATACATATTCTGTCCTGAAAAGTAGAATTAGAAATAGCCTGTCTATCCTTTTAACAACTTCTAACCAAATCTCCCCTGTTTACAGAGAAGTAGCTTTCAGTTATTATTTGTAAAAGTGACGCCTGGGAATTGGCCTGCAGTCTGAATCCAGGCTCAGGAACGAAAGACATTTTGCCATGGAAGCTTAAAACAGCATCTCAGTCCTTTGATATCCACCCCTCCAAACTTCTTTAATACTTACATCAATTCATTTTAGCTATTTGAAAACCACCAGGCTGCAGTAATTAAACTAATATATGAATGATATGGGTACCAAAGCAGCTTTCTTCCAGAGATGCCTTGTCTATTCAGTACTAACAGAAATAATATTTAGTATGCTCCGTCATGTCAACTGGGCCATGACAAAAAAAAATAAAAAGATGCCATTTGATGAACAAGGTGTTTGGTCCTTTTGGGGTCTAGGTTTTGCTTGTTTTTTGGGTTTATTTTTGGCAGGGGGAGTGTGTTGTTGGTTTCTTGCTTGTGTTTTTTTGTTTTTGTTTTGTTTTGTTTAGTGCCATTTTGTTTTGTCATTTTTTCTTCTCTTTTTTTAAGAGGCCCCTATCACTGGAACTATTAATTGAAAACAGTGGTAGAGGTGGCTCTGTGGTATTTCCCCTGAGTGAGGAACCAAGATAAATTCACCAAGCTTTGTAAGAACAGGATTTGGGGATAGTGGCTGTTTCATGTATGAGTTAATTTCTTGTTTCTTCTGGGAGAATGGGGAGAGCTTTTGAAATCCTACCTGGTTAAAAGCAATTTTTTTATTATATTATCTCAAACATTGAGTGTATTTTCTGAGGAGATAACAAAGTGTCATCACTGTCTCACTTGTGGTTACAGCATTTACCCCTATGTATCCCCAAGGCTTACTTTAAACTTTTTTTCACTTTCCACATTTTTATTCAGTGGAGTGAGGCTACAAAAAGTTAAGAATGGAATTTACCCCATTCTGATGCTGATAAAAACCAGACACCTTTTTTTTTTTAACACCTCTTTCCAACTGTATGTGTGTTTCTGTTCACATAAAATAAATTCTTTAAACTCTATAGATGGTCTGGGAATAGTCGGATGCTGGGAGGAGACTATGGAGGGGATAGAGATATTTGTGTTGTACATCAGGAAATGCCAGATTTTCTGCAGAAAATGTAAATATGGGGAAAGCATAAGATATTCCATCCCAGGAGTGACTTCACCTAAATTTTATGGTTAGATTTATTGAAAATTCATCAGAAATCAAATATCAAAGATTACTTCTTTAGCACAGCCACCACAAAGATTCAGAAAAATAAAACTTTTGGAAAATATGTCAGGGATGCAGTATTCAAAGTTCAAATCCAAATTTAAATGCAGCATAAAGTGGGAGTCCCAATTGGCTCTGTAAAGAGGGGACTTGGCATTTCTGGCCTGTAAAGAGAGTTATGACATAAGTTGCCTGAAAGGATGCTCCTGTGAGGCTTAGATAAACTGTTTCTTTACAAGCTTAAACTGTACAATTTATGACTGAACATTTGGAGATCTGGTTTGGGTTTTTTCCTCAAAAGCTGAAGAATTCCAGCAAGTTTAAAAGAATATTTTTTTGCTCTAGAAGTACTATCATTTTCCCTCACAAGTGAAATTACCTGCTATCTCATTAGGAGTTAGGTGTCTCTGAAAGTTATGCAAATGTATCCCTCATCTACAACAGGAATCTTACAGGATAAAACCAGACCTTGCAATTGCTTTCTTTCAAGATTCCGAATCAAAAGTCTGGGCACCAAAATTTGCATTTGATCTCCACAAATCAGAATTACATCTGTCTTTGACCTTTGCTAGTTGCCAGCAGGGTAACTTACTTGAGGTCTAACAGGGTAAGACTTGAATTAGCTCAGCTTCTGAATCTTCTTGATGTTTCTCCTTGGCAGTTTGTGGATTATGCATTCCTGCATAACTCTGATATCTCCTGAGGAATGTCAAAATCCAGTGGACCTTAGACAGAGACAGTCATGAATCCACATATGATGTTTTTCTCAACATAGTTTGTTCTCAAGAAAAATTCCAACCTAACAGTTTATGACCAGACAGAACAGAAAATATGAGAAGTAATTAACATATTTTATTTATTTAAATAAAAGCACTTTTAAAGAAAAAGAAAGTTGCATATTTGCTTTTCTCTCCAGTAGAATTAACAAAAATGACAAATATAAGAATGTTGAGGCTGTTGTGGGAATAGAAATAAAGAGGCCAACAGAAGGAGAAACATGCAGACACTGAGGTGAAAGGATGAAGAAAAACTCCTGGGCACATTTTGAAGTTCTTTTACTTGTAACAGATACTTCCCAGCTATAATGCGTGTTATATGATTGAACAACTTTATTTTTGACTGCTGATCAGTGCAGTGGCATAATCAGTTTTATTCAACAATCAGGTAATCCTAAATCAGATGCACTAGCATGAATAATGACATGTAAAGCCTGTCAATATATTAATTATTATAGTGCCTCAGACTGTGAAACTTTACACAGAGTTAATTATCACCATGTTAATGATAAATACAGAGTGGGTAATTTCATTTGTTCAGTGCATTTGAGGAGCTAGGTATTCACTGTAGTATTGAAATTAGCAGTGAAAAACCTCAGCTCTCCCACAGTTTTTAACGTCCACACTATTAACACTAGTGCCTGCACTGCACTGTGGATGCAAACAAGCTGCTCATTAAAAGAAATTACCTGTGTCTCTGTTCCATTGTGCCTTAAGGTGTCTGAGAACAGTGCCATTGTTTTCTGTCATTTCTGTTTAGAGGAAAAAATTTTTCATTTCAAAAAATATTTGAGAAAAACACCCAGAGTGGAATCTTCACAGTTTCTTGACCCTCTTCAATCTTTGATGTTTACAAACCATCACACCTAGGGAAAAAATAGCAACCCGAATCTAAAAATGCCTTATATTCAGTAGCCATGGGCCTGCTGCTCTAATTATTGTTTTCAGTACCCAAGATCAAGTTTGCAAAATCAGCTCCAGCAGATTACAGGTAGTAGAGCCTCAGTAATGAGAAGGTAAAGCAACATTTCACAGCAACCCAAACATAAATCTGACTTCGTACTTGTACACTGACTTTTGAACACCATGCTTGGTATTTAGCAAGGCCAGAACAAGAAAATAAAGGCCAGAACTGCTGGGGTTGAGAGGGGAGAGTTCCATTGGTTTCCATGAGCACCTCGAGTGTCATAAAGGAAGGAATAATCTGAATAAATATTTGTTCTTTGAAAACAGAGTGAAAATGCAACTCTCCCTGAGCTGGTTGTTCAGCCCTTGCCCAGGTTCTCTGCTCCAAGTCTCCTTGTTTTCTCAAATTATTTAATTCCCATGCTTTGTATCTTGTTTCACAGACAGTTTTGTATGTGTATTCTATTTTTCCTACGTACTTAATTTTGGTGACTGAATGCAAAAATAAATGCATGGATGAACATGCTGCATAAGCTTCTCCTCAGAAAAAACTTTTTCAGCATGTCAGCTGCTTCCTCTCAATACAAAATTTTGTTGTTTTTCATTATACATTTTATAATCTTTCATGCCACATTGGCTTACATATCAGTATTCTACTCTGGGGAGCCTTTTGTGGAACTTTTTATGAATAACACTAACTCAGCTGTTGTGTCTACTTTTACATATAACTATGATTTGCTTATTATTAGTAGGCAGACTCCAGCCCTTTGTGTATTTTATTCCTTAATTTTGTTTCACACCTGAGACGTTTTGAGAGTCTTTAAACCACGAATGTTCTGCATGATCCCCTCCCAGGATGACTTATTACAATGAAGCTTTTCAGTCATAACTGAAGTCAGTTATAGTCTTTCACTGCAGTCCTTTAAATGATTATGCAACTGATAATCTGTTACTGTCAACAGGTCATTTCCCTAAATAGATTTGAGTTTATGACAGATAAAATGAAACACCATGTTTCATTTGTTCTCTGCCTGATTGATGCTCCCCATGAAGCTTGAATATGTGCACCAGGATGGTGGTGCTTAAGACTTTTCTTGACAGCAACTGAAATATATATATATATGACTTGTAAGAACTTTATTAAGAATATTTCAGTACTACTTTAAGAATAAGGAAAAAAATGGAACTCTAGGAATGGCAGGGCCACTGAGTACAATTTTTGAGTTTAAATGGCCTGAGTTTAACATAAACTTCAAGTAGCAGGACGAAAATCCTGTGAATTGGGAAGAGCTGTTGACTCCCTCCAAGGCAAAAAGACCCCACAGAGAGACCTGGACAAATTAGAGGACTGGGAAATCACCAGTCATATTAAGTTCAACAAAGACAGGTACTGGATTCTGCATCTGCAATGGGGCAACCCTGGACATTCAGACTGGGGAAGGAGAGGCTGGAGAGCAGTGCTCTGGAGGGGGACCTGAAGGTCCCGTGATGGCAACTTGGATATGAATCAGAAGTGTCCTGGCAGCCAGGAGGGCCAAATATCTCCTAGGGAGCATCAGGCCCAGCAAGGCCAGCCAGGCAAGGGTGGGGATTGTCCCTCTCTGCTCTGCCTGGGGCACCTTCACCTTAAATACTGTCTGCAGTGTTGGGCACCAAATTATAAAGAAGATATTATGCCATTAGAACACTGAAGGTAAAAGGTCTGGAGGGGACATATGACTAGGGGCTGGGGTCATGTGCCTTTTCCAGCCCAGAGAAGAGGAGATTGAGGGGAGACCTTATAGCAATCTGCAGCTTTCTCATGATGGGAAGTGGAAGATCACATCCTCTTTTTGGTGACCAGTGAAAGGACCCAAGAGAACAGCACAAAACTGTGTCAGGGGAGGTTTAGGTTGGATATCAGGAAAAGGTTTTTCACCCAGAGTGTGGCTGGGCACTGGAATAGGCTCCCTAGGGCAGTGGTCACAGCACCAAACCTGTCTAAGTTCAAGAAGTGATTGGACAATGCTCTCAGGTACATGGTGTGACCTTTGGGGTATCCTGTGATGGGCCATGAGCTGCATTTCAATGATCTTGATGGATGCCTTCCAGCTCAGCACATTCTATGATTCCATGGTTACATGGGATAGCTTCATCTGAACCAACAATCTTAAAAGAAAAAAATCAATGGCTCCATTTGATATTCTTATATTCTTATATTATTCAATATTCTCAACTGAAGTGTCTTGTGTTTCTCAAAATTCGGAAGTTTTATATGCCTTCACCTTCAAAGAAGCAGTGAAAAACAGAGTAAAGAACACTGAAGCTGACAATGACGGTTTACTGGGGAGCATTATCACCTCCTCCACGTCCCACTCAAGCCACCTTTCAGCCCAGCTGTAATCAGTTTAATTCTTTGGGAACAGGTTGCAGCATTACGCGAAACGGGGTACATAACTTTCCTCAAGGGTTATGAGAAGTAAAAACACAGTGATTGTCTAAAATCAAGGATGGTGTTGCCTCTATATTAATACAACATTAATGAAATGAGCAATTTCATTCTCATTGAGAATCTCATTCTCAACCCTTTGAGAAATGGTTTTACAACTTCACCTCTCTGTACATCTTTTTACTTCCATCTATTGAGATATTTATATTAAAATACACATCCAGTGAAGTTTTTCATATATCTCGTAAATATATACCATAACTTCTTTTAAAACTGCATTGATACAGAAGAGCTTAATGCTTAATGAGAAATTATCCTCAAATAAAATAAAAGATTCTCTGCTTTGGAGGACAATGCTACTGGATGAGTTTTATTACTGAACTAGCTTGAATACATTGGCAACAGACTCAGTTACTCTATTTTCTATAATAGACAGCAGGACAGAACTCTGATGAAAGACAAAAAAGTTACTGAAAAATATTAAAAAGAAAGAAAGAGCAAAGAACATCCACACGTGGTCTAAGCACATGGAAATACTTATTTTTGAGATGCACATAACAAGGACATTAATAGAAACTATTTGAAAGATGGACTGTAGAACCAAACAGCTGAGAAAGTAACTTTTTTTTCTAGAAATCACTGGTGTAACACAGTTCACCTGTTGGGGTAGGAGAGATTTAATATGTATGTGAGCTGAGCAATGGTACTTTTCTGAAGCCTTCAGAGTAGGCTCCATATTATTCAAAACTCCAAATACTGATCCACATTACCTGTGTTCCTAACAGTGCATAGATGTGGAAATTTGAAATCACATCAAGCCCAACTATAGTTACACTGTATTTTGCCACAAGATTTTAAGGCATGATGCAGATTCCTTTAATCAAATCTGGCACTTTTCTGACTTTCTTCCAAATTGTAATCACTATAACATTGCAGGGAAAGAGGAACTTAAAGCAATTCATTAAAACCCAAAAAAAGGGTTTGTTTCAGACAGAAATGAGAGAAAACCCTGTTCTGATAATGTAAAGGAGGCATTTAACATTTGTTTCTTTCAGTCTAGTATCAGAGTGTGGAAGACTGAGAATGACTGCCAGAGAGCATAATAGCTGAAACAGCTGTTAAAGAACAATGATATTGCTAATGACTCAGATATTACACACATGAAGTAAGTTCAGACAGGATCAGGTGCAGAAATGAACCAGAAGAAATGTTCAAGGAGTGGAGATGATTTTGTTAGAGGAGTGCCAGAGAGCCAGGCTTGGGCAGCTGAGCCCAGAGCTGGCAGAAGAGATAAGTCAGCCCTCCAAGGATGCCTGTGGAAGAGCAGAGAAGAGAAAAAACTAGCTCTGAACCACTGCACAATGTTGGCATGAAACCAAAAGTGTGCAAACTACTGACAATATAGCACAGCTGTAAAACAGAGAGGCTGTGAATTCAACCACTTTCGCTCCTTAGGGTTTTGTAGCAATGGGGAACAAAGCAACAAGGACCCCCTTATGCATCTGAAGAAGATTGCTTTATTGCAATATAAATTTTATATACCTCTTTATAGCTTTAATCTCCACCTGACACAACTGAAACCAAATCAAGGCCTTACAGAATTTAACAGAAGAAGGGCACCAACCTCACTTCCAGCTGCCCTCAGATGACTCTCTCCTGACTCTGAGCCACCTCTCACCCCTCAGCCGACTTCCAGCCACTCAGACTGCAGCTGCGCCTTTCCCTCAGAGGCTTCTGGAGCCCACTACCGCCTTTAACAAGTGTGACCCTGCATTCCAAGGGCTTCTATTGCAAAACAAGAGCGTCAGCCAATTCCTTCCTTCTGTGCATGCTTGCTAACATTCAATAACTAGTGTCCTGCCCCCTCCGCTGGTTTTTATTTAGTATATTGACACCGCTAAATGGCACAATGCTGTGGTTCTGCTGCAATACCGTCATTAAGTCATTGCAATCCTGAAAGACCCGAGGAGGAACTACACTCCATTGCGTATATCATGAGTCAGGGTGTTTTAGTCCAGCACTGAACTGAAGTTACAGGCATAATTCTAAAAGCTATCCCACAATTAAAAAAAAAACCAACACGGAGTAGATATAACATACACATCAGACTGGCCTACTGTCTACTTTACCAGAGCACTGAGATAATTCAGTGTTTTTTTTACACCATTAGTCTCAACAATAAATCTGCAGGATATCTTTTTATTAGAAGTAATATATTCAGATAGATATTCAGAAAACATTTAAAGCTTTCATTATGTGTGTACAAGAAGCTGGGTGCTTTTGTCAACAGTGATAAGTCAAATAGCTTACAGTGAAGCAGCGTGGCAACAACACAGAGCTGTACAAAACATTTTGCTGCATGGAAATCGTAACACATCATAAGCAAAAAATAATGGGACTATTTACAAGAAAAACAATCAAATCCTGGATTGACGAGGCAGCACAAAGGGGAAAATAAAAGTCCACTGAAGTAGCAGATAGTGTGGAAAATAAAGCTGTGTTCTCTGAAGAAAGACTCTGTGGTGGGGGTGGGGTGGGCTGTACTTCATTTTTTGAGTGATAGAATTTATTTAGCAAACTAAGCTAAATATATTACTTTGCTCTGAATTTCTGGACTTAATGGTCTTAGTACAGGAGAAAAAATACTATGCAAGGATGTCCATTCTCTTACTGAAAAAACCCCAAAAGAACATATATTGCTTCCTGCATGATAAATAGAAATCTTACATGAGGACATTCTTAAGCAATACCTGTTCTTCAGAATACATTGTTGATGTTATCACTTAGAGATGAAACATTCATTGTTATTTTCCTTCA